TGAAGATCCCGAGATGCGTCTCACCCAAAGGCAGAAAAGGACAGCTACACACGTTCTCCGACGCGAGTGAAGAAGCCTATGCAGCAGTAGTCTACTGGAGAATAGTAGAGCCCGGAGGAAAGGTCCATGTCTCCATGATCGCCGGCAAAGCAAGGGTAACGCCGACGAAACCTGTGTCAATTCCGAGGCTAGAGCTACAAGCGGCCTTACTCGGAAGCAGACTAGCCGCCACAATCGAAGAGGAATCAGAGCTCGACATATCGAAGAAGGTTTACTGGACCGACTCCAGCACAGTACTGCAGTGGATAAAGTCAGAACCAAGGAAGTTCAAAACTTTTGTGGCCAACCGACTCGCCGAGATCGAAGAAAGGTCCAAGCCAGAAGACTGGAGATGGGTGCCAACCAAGGAGAATCCAGCGGACGACGCCACGAGGGGAACCCCAATCGAATTCGACCACAACGCCAGATGGTTCAAAGGCCCGTCATTTCTCCGTCAACCAGAAGAAGAATGGCCATTCCACGACTTCAAGCCAGAAATTGTTATGCCAGAAGAAAAAAGCAAGCAAAAGGTGTTGGCAACAATGGCAGCAGAAGACACTCTACTAAACCTAGAAAGGTTCTCGAGCTGGGAGCGACTGCTGCGCACTACAGCCAGAGTGATCGCCTTTACACACCTACTAAAGAAGAGCCGTAAAGCGACCACCACCGCCGCACGCCAGAAGGATGAGTCCTGGAAACCACAAAAAATCCAGAAGAAAGAAACACAAACCTCAATCCCGTCGACCAGCAGAAGTGAAAATAAACGCCTATACTCACCCATAGAAGCAGAACACCTAAAAAAAGGCCGAAGAGATATTAATAAAAATAAGCCAGAGCGATAGTTTTGCATCAGACATAAGAAAACTGAAGTCGGAAAAGCCATTAGAAAATTCGAGCCGACTCAAGAAAATCGACGTTTACATTGGAGACGACGGAATAATTAAATTAAGGAGCAGAACAATGAAATTCCACGATCAAAACGGAAAAATAATGAATCCTATCATTTTAGACGGAAAACAAAAAATAACTCGTCTAATAATACAACACTATCACAGGAAATTCCTTCACGGAAACACCGCTACGGTAATGAACGAAATTCGTCAAAGGTTCTGGATCTTGGGTTTAAGAGCAACTCTAAAAGCGGTCGCACACAGCTGTCAATGGTGCAAGACAAAGAAGAGTTCACCAGAGATACCACCAACGGGAGATCTGCCGAGTGAAAGATTGCAGCATCATCAATTTCCGTTCTCCTGCACAGCTGTAGACTACTTCGGGCCGATGCAAGTCACCATCGGAAGAAGGAACGAGAAGCGCTGGGGAGCCTTATTTACCTGTCTCACAACTAGAGCAGTACATTTAGAGCTGGTACCTTCTCTCAGCACCAGCTCAATGATCATGGCACTCCGACGAATGGCAGCCAGAAGAGGAACTCCGAAAACAATATATAGCGACAACGGAACTAATTTCGTCGGAGCGAAAAGGGAATTAGAAGAGGCCGCACAGGAAAAGGGCATCCAGTGGAAGTTCATCCCCCCGGGAGCTCCAAACATGGGAGGCGCCTGGGAGAGGCTCGTACGAACAGTCAAAACGGCGCTAGCAGTAGTCCTCAACGAGAAGAGCCCGCCCGAGGAAGTACTCCATACGCTAATGACTGAGGTTGAACACATCGTCAACTCGAGACCTCTCACCCCGATCAGCATGGACCCAGGAGACGAGGAAAGCCTAACACCGAACCACATTCTGCTGGGAAGATCATGCGGAGCTATGGCGCCGGGAGAGTTCAGCGACACGGAGCTCATCGGAAGGGCAAGCTGGAGAACCACCCAGAGACTCGCAGACCACTTCTGGAAAAGGTGGATTAAAGAATACTTACCTCTCCTGATGCCAAGGAAACTCGAAGGGAAAGAAACCAGAGACCCAAGGGAAGGAGACATCGTGCTAATAGTAGACGCCACATTACCGCGAAACTCATGGCCTCGCGGTGAAATCGTCAAAACCTATCCTGGACCAGACGGAAGAACCAGGGTGCTGGACGTGCGGACATCAGGTGGAATACTTCGCCGTCCAACTCGACGTGTCATCGTGCTGGTGCCAGCGGAGTCGTCGCCTCCAGAGGATGCAGTGCTACGCACCGTGGGGGAGAATGTTAGCGACGACAAAGTGAATTCGAACATTTAATCTTAATTATTTTCTTATCAGTGATTTAAAACTGAGTGATAGTATTTAATCTTAATTGTTTCCTATTCGTAAAATAAAGCTAAGTGTAAAGACTGATTAGTGCTGAAAACGGGAAAGTAAATTAAACACTTCTATTCTTATCTTAAAGTAACTTATATGAATCTATTTAATATTATTTAGGTCTGATTAGAACATTAGACGCAAGTATAAGCTTATTTTCTAGTAAGATTTCTTTTATCATAACTTTAAGAGCTATTAACACATAGGTGATTAATGTAATTCTTTTTACTTTAAAGTAATTCAAAAGAAACATTAATATGTCAATTAATCACTATACAATGTCATTTCATTATGAGAAAGATTTAAATTTTATGAAAAAATATTGTATAGATTCTTAAGCATTAATCCTGAAAAAAAAGTGTTGTACATTCCTACCTCTTGGCGGCGCTACTTGTATGTTCGGCAAAAAAATACTATCCTACTCCGGAGCTAAACCGTGAAGCGACCGCGAAGCTATTTTTATTTTTTATAAGTGTAAAATAAAGGTTTATTGAATAATTTAGGTTTAGAATAATAGAAATAAGTTGTATCTATCACTAGGAATAAATATAAATATTGTAAGATATGTTTTACCACGTTTATTAAGGAAATTGTAAATCCCTCTTAGAAAGGGTTATTCTGTGCTCTGATTGGTCAATAGATTCACTAATGCCGTGTGCGATTTTTTCTTAATTACGATTGGTTACAGCCGCTTATAAAAAAGGGGCGTTTTTCGTGGTAAAACATTCCAAATCCGGCAATGTAATAATAAGGAATCAAGAAATAAAATAAGAAGAAACTCTCAAGAAGTGTTATTTATTGCTCATCTAACTGCTACTGTATGCTCTCCAGTTAACATCCCGCCAGCAAACCCGCTCTATTTTATCGACGCTCCCTTATACGAGCACTTACATATACTCTATTCTACGTATTGGTGGTAAGTTATGAATATTTCTTTAGAACAGTTATATGAGAAATTAAAAGAAGTGAGAACATATTTAATTAAAATTGGACCGAGTAGACGTGAATGAAATTTTTTAAATATTAAACTTAAAGAGGCCAATAAAATATTTAGTGACTATTCTAAGTTGTTCATAAATTTTAATAGTAAAGTAAAGAAAGGTAAGATTACTGATATTCCATCTTATCAAACCTATTGTAAGAATTTTGAATCATTATATCAGGATATTATAAAATTGTGTAAGCTAGAGTGTGTACAATCTGAAAATCCGAGCAATATAGATACTTTCGATTTGAAAACGGCTTTGTCTTTATTACCTGTTATGTCAGATGACGAAACAAGTGTGAAACAAATAGTAGACAATATTCAGTATTATAATTCTTTGGTAACAAAACAGGAATGCAAAAAGAATTTAATTAAATTCATATTAAAAAGCAGATTATCTCAATCTGCTAAATTACGTCTTCAAGACGATTACTCTAATGTTGAAGACTTAGTTAGTGACATGCAGAAAGAGTTGTTGCCAAGAAAAGGAGCAGCAGCAATTCAAGATAAATTGCAAAAATTACGTCAAAATGATATGTCAATTGCTGATTATGGAAAACAAATAACAGAGTTATTTGTGGACCTTACGATATCACAAGCCAACGGTAATACTGAATATTACAATATTTTGAAAACTGTTAATGAAAAACAAGCGATCAAGCAATTTTCCGATGGCTTACGAAATCGTCGAATCAGCACAATAATTTCTGCTAGAAATTACAGCTCTCTGAAAGATGCCATTCAAGCAGGTCAAGATGAAGAGACTTCATCATCATCGGCCACAGTAGAGGTGATGGGTATGTCCAGTAAGAAATTTTATTATCCTAGGAATTTTCATCATAATTCTAGGTACCCACGCAGCAACGGGCGTAATCGGCAAATGTTTTCACAGCGAGGACACTACCATGGAAACTCGCAGCGATTGAGTTCATGGAACCACTCGAACTCATGTGGCCAAGGACAGCGAGGACGATATAATCGAGGTACGTTTCGTAATTATCGCGGAAATCAAGGGATAAAAAGAAATATAGTCAATATAATTGATGAAAACCAGGAATCAACTTCAAATGAACCCCGACTAGATAAGTTTTTTCGAGAATAAACAAAATCATTTAATTTTGGCTAGTAGATAATAGCAATTGTTTTATTCATTTACCAGTTTCATCATGCAATAAAACTTATTCTTTCTTAGTCGACAGGGGCGCATCTTTATCTGCCGTAACATATAAATGGTCTAGGTGGGGAGGTGCAAACAATCGGATATGTTTATGTTCCATTAATGATTCATGGATCTGTTATTAATCACAAGTTCTTTGTTTTTAATTCATTACCAATTTCATCGCATGGAATTTTAGGTAGAGACTTTTTGAATAGATTTGGAGCATGTATAGATTTCGAGAAAAATATTTTATATTTGCAGTGAGGGTCAGGCCACACTTGTTCCTTGCCTTTCACTAATAATTATAATATTAATGTATTGGAAATTCCCCCAAGAAGTGAATCCATACATTATATTTAAACTGATTTTCAAACCGATTGCATTATTTGTCCACAAGAATTACAAGGGGAAAAATACCAATAAAAATATTAAATGTTACCGAAAAATCAGTAATATTGTCAGGAATAAATCCTACAATTCATGATTTTAACGATTTATATTGTTCAGACAGATCCATTAATTTGGTGTAATATTTAATGTCAAATATATACTTTGGTGACAAAAAATTTATTTTATTACCTATATTTTGAGTTTTCTCTTCAGTTTCATTTGCCTTTTGCTTTCGTTTCTTTGGTATCTCAGGAGCCGTTGCAAACTTTTGCCTATACTCGCTCTCGCTTATTTTGGGCGCCGTCATCATACTTTTCAAGAGAGCTTGAATTTTCTCTGTTTGAGTGTCTTTTGTATTTTTCTTCTGTTCCTCTAGATTTTTTGTTTGTAAATTTGTTGAATTGCCTTCGCTTTCTGGTGGCTTTTCGGATAAACATCTTACAAATAATTTAAAGTCCCGTTTAAGCCGTAGTCTGAAAATTAAACATAAGTTTTGCTGCATATTTATCTCAAACCACTATTTTATAAAATAGCGAAGAAACTAACCTAGTCAACATTCTGGAAATATGCTTTTCTCTAGTACATATACAGTAATCTATGATGCCTTTTATTTTCTTTGTACGATATATTACTTTCCTCTATGATTTTCTTTATATTTATAGGTTAAGTTTTTACTTTTTATACTCCACTCAAAACTCAAATTAGGGATGTTCGATGATCATCGATGTTAAAAATGAAAACATCGATGTCAATAAACCCATAATCGATTGATAGGAACTTTTAAAGAACGCGAACCCGTGAAATCTATATAAACTAAATATTGCATCTACTATTAAAATTGCGCCCTCCTTTCCCAAAAGAGGGTCGCTCACGATAAGGCACAATAAAGCTTAATCAGCCAGTTGCCTGTCCCTAAAGGCGGTTTTTAGAGGGTATCACTTAGGTCCCCGGTTAGATGTGAGTCCCTCATAACCACGATAGACCGGCTATCGTGGTATGCGTAATGCATTTTCCGCCTCCCTACGTATAGGGTAGCCCTTTATTTGCTTCGGGCGCAAAAAAAATAAAAAATAAAAATCTACTATTCAAGGTTTAAAATCTTTAATAATTCAGAATTACTAAACGCATCTATCTCCTAACAAAATATCATTATGGTGTGTCAAACTTAATTGTCAAGTGTGAACTGTAATGTCACAGTTGTCACTGCTTCGCTTTGTTATCCTTTGGTGTCGTTGTGGGTTGTCGCCTAATAACGAAATAATTCTACGTAAATTGATATTCAAATGAATTGTTTTTCCCTTGCTGTCTATACCAACATTATTTTGAAACAATATGTAATTATCTACATTATACACAATTCAATTATATTTAGCGGCATTTTTGAGATTATCATAACGAGTATTTTGTTTGCTTGAACTTGAACTTGAAGATTATGAAAAGCATGAAGTAGTATCGAAAACCTGAGATATGTGGAGGTGCATTTACCGAGAGTCCTGTCCCTGTATTTCATCCCTGCATCAGCCACTCATACTTACCAGCTAATCTAATGAAAACTACTGTTGTACCCATAGTGAAGAACGGGACGGGAGATATCTCGGATAAGGGAAACTATCGCCCAATCTCCCTCGCTATGACGATAGCTAAGATATTGGATAATCTGCTTGACTCTAATTTACATAATTACTTAAACCTGCATGATGCGCAGTTCAGGTTCCGGCCTGGACCTTCCACTGAAAGCACAATTTTGAGCATCAAACATACTGTCCAATACTATACAGACCGGAGGACGCCTGTTTACGCCTGTTTTCTGGACCTCTCCAAGGCCTTCGATCTCGTTTCATATGATGTGCTTTGAAGGAAGATGGAGGACAGGGGTATTCCAGCGGAGATGATCAACATCTTTCGGTAATGGTATGCAAACCTGACCAATCATGTTAAATGGTCAAACATTCTCATCTCATGCCGAGTCATAAAGGTAGGAGTGCGGAGTGAGGCAGGGAGGGTTATCGTCTTTGAAGCTCTTCAACCAATATGTTAACGATCTCTTGATGGAGCTAAAAAGCATGCGTGTTGGATGTCGCGTGGGTGGTGTTAGTATCAATAGCATCAGCTATGCGTATGTCTTGGTGTTGCTGAGTCCCACTGCGAATGTGATCGGAGAAATGTTGAAAGTCTGCGACACTTATGCTGCCTCGCATGGTCTTGTATACAACATTAATAAAAGTGAATACATGGTCTTTGGGGCTGCCGACAAGTGTCTGCACCTATCCCTGCAATAACCTTAAATGGATCGGAACTAAAGCGGGTTTATCAACTTAAATACCTAGGGCATATTCTTGCCGATGACCTTAAAGATGATCTTTATATAGAGAGGGAGCGTAGGTAGGGCTTTGGCGATACGAGGCAATATGCTGTCCCGTAGATATGCCCGCTGTTCGGACCAAGTTAAAATAACCTTATTCAAAGCGTATTGTCACAGTCTGTACACGGGCGGTCTGTGGATTGGGTAGGGCAAAAAAGTCGCTAAACACCCTGTGAGTCCCGTACAATAACGTTTTCAGGATGATGTTGGCAGTTCTCCGTTTCTGTATTGCTTCTGGCATGTTTGCACAGACTCGAACTGACGGTTTTCATGCTGTACTTCGGAAAAAAGTAGTGTCGCTGATGGTAGGGATACGGAGAAGTGACAACAGCATCCTAGGAATGGTGGCAGATGATCCGCATGCGTCTATTGTAAAGCACTTCGTGCGAACGATTGCTCATACAGTGGATGATAATTCTTCTAGGTGTCGACCGCACGGAGTGCCTCTTAGGTACATGACAAATTAGAATTTAATTTAGTCTGAGTTTATCTGATTTAATTTAATTAAGTTGGATTTAATTTGATTCTAAATATAATAATATAATTTAACTTAATTGTTTTCAAAATACTAACATTTTTTAAGCATTAATTGTAATACTAACCCATGGATCTTTATTGTCTGAAATAAATGAATTTGAATTTGAAAATTTCACTGAGCGAGCGTAAGCATAGACAATTTCACTGAATAGTGAATTCGACTGTTCATTTTATATACGGCTGTGGATATTTACTGCTTGGGCTGTCTAATTAAAAAATTGTGAACAAAGGTGACGGAAAAGTATATTAATTTGTTTTTGTGTCGTTTGTTAATTTTTTCTCTAAAATCACATTTTTTCTTTCGCAATAGAAGTAGTTGATATAAAAACTACGTCTAAGTCGTAAATTAGGTCTCATAGTAATTTTTAATACCAGATTTGTAAATATATAGAACATTTAAAAACCGAAAAAGTAACACTCATCATGATCGACAAGAAATATGAAACTATAACGACTTATAGTTTCATATTTCTTGTCGTAACTTCTTCCCGTTTTTTTTAATTACTGACACTAATTTTTTTATAAATTTATTTTATTTCATCAGTAATAAACCATAAACAACATGACCAATATTTTATTTCAAACCTATTAAATAGGTAAATATGCAAAAAACATAGATAATGGCCAACATCGATTTTGTTTTGAGCTGGATAAACATCGAACATGGATGTTAAGCTATCGATACCAACATAATTATAAGTCATCATCGATGTTTCTGCAACATTGACCATCCCTAACTCATATCAAACGTCAAAGCATGGACTATAGAGGTAAGGAGGACAATCTCCCATAGGAGAATAGTTGAAAATGTATCCAACCGTAAGCAGTAAATAACAGTTCAAAAACTAGGATTCTCTGTCTACGTCAAAAACTCTCTACAACAGCCATGAAGGTTAGAGAACAGGAGAACGATCGCCGTAGAAAATAGTGTCCCAGACATGGACATCATAAGTGAGGCACTGCGATCATTAAGTTCGGTCAATAAAAGTCATTTTCAGTCTATTTTTCCGATCAGATGCTAAACCACTTGCACAATATTTCTCCATTTTTTAATATTTCTTTTTATCAAAAATTACAAAATTACGGAACATGAAAATTTTCTCATTAAAAATGAAATGAAAATTTGTACATTATTCAACTAACTTCATCTACTTGTTCTCATAAACAGCTAAGTTCGCAGTCACTACTCACTGACGTCAGCGCCGCTATATATTCTACAATTTTCAAGGACAGGCGGGCTATGCTTTAGTACGTAGTGATCGTTCTCCTGTTCTCTAACCTTCATGATAACAGCGCTCGAGTAGCTACAGGGTATAATAAATCGCCGTATAAATCGCAGTAAATACGTTGCGAGTGATTTTAAAAATTAAAATTTTGTAAGCAATAAAATAATTATTGTTAAAAGATTTATGGTGAAAGTATGTGCAGTAAAAAAATTATAAAAAGTTCTTTAAAATTTATACTGTAGCTACAGTGCTAAGTTAGCTACCCTTATTTAACGCTTTCATACGGACACTGTTTTACACAGAGTCCGTTTTTCTCAATCTTTTTGGCACATACTATAGGTAATTACTTCACGCAGGTAGTTTAAATATCACTCAACGTGTTTCAAGGAGACTTTTTCTAGGTTACGTTTACTAAATTATTTTAGATAACGTGAGTAGTTGAGGTTTTAAATAATGCAGTTTCATCAACGACTCTAGTCACCACAAATATTAAATTCCTCCTAAATGGATCATTCCTTAGTCCTTACAGATGGGGATTTTTCAACTATTCTCCATGTGAGACGGTTCTCCTTACCTCTACACTCTGTGCTGGTAACTCCTAAGTCGGCTACTTACATGCCTGCCGCAGGGGCAATTTAGGTTCTAGGTTATACAGCGATCAAGGCAATATTAGAATTATATCTACACAAAAATCTGCCGTTCATTATGAGAGTGTACATTCGTCCCGCTGAATCAGGAGATGGATCAGTTTAGAGTTGGCTCTTTTTTTATTGAATAAGGGTGACAAAAATTTCACAGTTTACCTGATGGTAACTGGATACTGTGGCCCATAGATAGACACCTACATTTATCCATAATACAACCAGTTAATTATTAAGTACTATATAAATAATAGCTGCAGCACGGCTCTACCACGTTAAAAACGTTACCACGTTCAAATAACGCTCTTTCTCTAGTACTGCCGCAATAAAGAGATACTGGGTGAAGAAGCCACTGTTTATAATATATTCCTATCACTGGTGTCCAAATTTCACGCTCTTTACTGTTATTCATAGTGATTTGTATTCACACGTGTGATCCGCGTGAAAGTCGCCAACGAACTGATTGAAATTGCCCCAATTGCGCTACACACGCGGCAGCGGCAGCTATGATCTAGGGAGCTAGGAAGATCTCGCGCCTTTGCCGCCCTGCCACAGGGTTCGCTTAGGATATTGCCCATGCTTGCATACACATCACAATTAAGGGTTATCCCCACTCCTACAACCTAGATTACCCCTGCGGCAGGCACGTGAGGAGCCTCCTTTAGACCTTGAATGGTTTAAGTATTAGAGTCATAACTACACTCCTATGGAGTGTAGAGGTAAGGAGAACAAATTCCCATAGGAGAATAGCTAAAAACGTGTCCATCTGTAAGCAGTAAAAGTAAATGACA